AACCAACTACTGTGAGTGGGAAGGAATGAAAGGAACTGAAAATCAGTTCAGAGTATCTGACCTAGATGATCAGAAGTTGCCATTAATCAATATAGAAAATGAGGGAAGGTAATGAGGCAAAGGAATGGAGAGAATGGAGATAAAATAGAAGAGAGGAGAAAAATTAATGATTTTGGTTCAGGGTATGTTGATGGATACTTTTTTATGACAAATGTAATTTAAAGTTTTATATGAATAAGTCCACTTTGTTGATGGATACTTTTATGATATTCCAGAAGATATGACTAGAGGGTAACTTAAATATATGAATCAAGATCCCAGAAAAGAGGAATTTCTGGAGATACATATAGGGTTGTCCCATTATATTGATGATTAAAAAAATGAGAGGGGAGATGAGAGAGAGACAGAGAAGACATAGTGAAAAGAGACAATAATGGAGGGAGTGGTAGGTGGTAAAGGTGCTTAGTTATAAGTCACTGAAGCCATGAAAGATGGAAAAAATCCAGGAGATGGTATAATAGAAACAAAAAGAAAAGAGTGTTGGAAAAGAAAGCAATCAAGAGATCTAAATGATGCACAGAGATTCAGTAACATGAGAGAAAATTAATGAAAAAATAATAAGCGTGATTCTAAGATGCAGATGCTGAATGGCAGCAATAGACATCTCTTCAATATAAATAACCTAATTAAAAATGGGAAATAAACCTAAATAAACATTTCCCTAAAGAAGATATACAAATGACCAACAGGTATATGAACAAATGCTTAAAACAAAAGGAAAACAATGTTGGAAAATAAAGCAATCAGGAGATCTAAACAATGCAGACATTCAGTAACATAAAAGTATATATCTCTTTATAGTATGTTCCTAGTTCAATGTTCTCTCAAATGCTTAAAGTTTAAATAAATTGGTGAACAACTAGATTTTGGACTAGCATCAATAATGCATACCTTAAGTAGCTGACTATTGAAAAGATCATATATGATCTATCAAATTTTCTACTAACTCCTAAGCAAGGTTTTATGAATTATTCCATAAATTATCATCTTTTACATTTGTTCTTTATTTGGAAAATACAATAGATGGAGGTATCTGGAAGAATTCACTATGATGATTTATATTTATTTATTATAATCGAACCAATTCCTCTTCTAGCTAAATAATAAACAAATGGGGACCTTTCAGTCTTACATGTATATGTTTAACCAAATTCCATTTATTTAAGTCCCAAAGCACTTTTGCATTCTTTACATTAGTTCTACAAAAAGTATGAATGAATTTTTTTTGGAGGGGTAGTAACCAGGGATTGAGCCCCATACTTACCGACTGAGCCACATCCCCAGCCCTTTTTAATATTTTATTTAGAGACAGGGTCTCACTTAATTACTTAGGGCCTCACTAAATTGATGAGGCTGGCTTTGAACTTGCGATCCTCCTTCCTCAGCCTACATGAATAACTCACTCCTACTTATTTTCAGAACATATATATCAAAAAGGAAGTGGGCAGGGAAATGAAATACAGGGAGAAAGAAAGTAGGAAAAAGGGTTAAGAGAAGAGAAGGATGAGTAAGAATATGACAGGAAGGAAGAGAAATAAAGACAGAAAATATACCCATATATTGCCAGTTATTTATGGATAGTAAAATTTTGAGGAACTATTAAAAATTTTAAATATCCAAAATACCACTTGGTATCAATGTAGACTAACAAAGATTTTCAGAAAATAATTCAGGAATTTATATCAACAAAAATATTTAATCTCAAATTGAATTTAATTTTCTAATCTGGTAATCTTATTTTTGAAAATATATCCTAAGAAAATAATCCAAATAATAAAAAATATATCTATAAAAAGGTGATTATAGCATTGATTGAGGGCTCAGGTGTGGCTCAGTGGGAAAGCACTTGCCTAGCATATGCAAGGCCCTGGGTTCCATCACTATAACTGGAGGGAGGAAAGCATTGTAATACCAAAAATAGTAGCCCCCCACCCCCCATGGAATGTTATCTATCCTTTGAATTGTTAAATATCCTTTAAATTGTTAAATATCCTTTAAATTGCTATCTATCACCAGCACCAAAAAAAAAAAATAGAACATATCAAAAATAGTATATACTAAGTGAAAACTCAAAGTCCACATTGCATAATGTGATAACTGCTACATAAAATCAAGTGTGTATATGTAAACTCTGGAAAGCAAAATGCGAAAATAACATGTGTTTATTTTTTATTTTTTAATATTTTTTTTAGTTGTAGATGGACACAATACCTTTATTTTATTTTTATGTGGTGCTGAGGATCGAACCCAGTGCCCTGTATTTGCTAGGCAAGCACTCTACTTCTGAGCCGCAACCCCAGCCCCAATAACATGTGTTTATATTTAAAAGAAATTAATTTTTTCCCATTTGACCCAAGCTTTATGTGCTCAATTTGTACTCAAAAATTTTTCTGTCACACTGAGTTAGTGTACTGAAATCTGAAATACTTTTATTTCTACTAAAGAAAAAGAAAAGACAACATCAAGTTAATTAGCTAAGTCCATGCCACCAACTTGACTTAATAAAGACATGCACAGAAGATAATTCTCCTGCTACTTCTGGATCAGTGTAGCATACAGAATTGAAGAAAAGTAACAATGAAAGGGACAGTGATTTGCCTTGCTAACATGACTTTGCTTAGTAAAACTGGTCTTGTATTCCCAGCCTTCAATATGTGGCAAAAGGTTCTCAAACATTAAAAAGTAGATGCTAACACACCAAAATTGAAATACTAAAACAAAATATTCAAGGCTCAATTTTATTAATTTGATAAGTAACGTATGTATATGGAAGCTGATTTATATAAATATAAATATAGAATAAGTAAAATAAAATAAAAAATAATAACAACATCTGAAAGCTATCCTCTATGGAAAGCATATTCTATATAGTAAACACTCCTGGGGAAAAAAGATCCAGATTCTAGTTTACATGGAAAGTAATTAAGATAAAATAGGCTTAAGGCTATATACAGACACTATAATACATAAACAGAATAAATTGCCCAAATCAAATAGTATTTATCTAAAACTTTGGTCTAAAATAAGCACATATTTGGCAACATCTAATTGATAGGCTATTAAAGATGCTTGGCAACTAAAAAAACAACAGAATTGAAAATATTCAGATCAATACGGTACCAACTAAAAAATAAAAATAAAAAAGGAACTGAAATATTTATTCTGAATATATCTGATGAAATCAGTTCAGAGTAATAACATCTTTAGAAATTACTTAGAATGCATTTCTGTAGGAAAGACTGGTTAAGAGACATGGGTCTGGTGTATTTCACTTAGCATGATGGTCTCCAGTACCATCCATTTACCATAAAATGCCATAACTTCACAATTTGTAGCTTAGTAAATCTTCATTGTATACATATACCACCACATTTTCTTGATGCATTTATCTGTTGACAGGTATTTGGGCTGGTTCCATAACTTGGCTATTGTGAATTGCACTATAATAAACATCGATGTGGATGTATCATTGTAGTGTGCTAATTTTAGTTCTTTTGGATAAACACCAAGGAGTGAAGTAACTGGATCATCTGGTGGTTCCATTCCTAGTCTTTTAAGGAATCTCCATACTGGTTTCCAGAGTGGTTGTACTAATTTGCAGTCCTACGAGCAATGTCAGGGTCAAATGTTTTCTCTCATATGCATAAGCTAGACCTGAATGAGGGGGTAAAGGTTGGGGGGCATGAAAATAGAAAGGAAGCGCAGTGGAGTAGAGGAATGGGACAAAGGAGTGGAAGAAGGGACAGGAAAAAGGAGAACTATGGAATGAAACTGACTGAAATTATGCTATGTACATATATGAGTATACCACAGTGAATATCACTTCATGTATATCTATAAAGCACTGATTCTAAAAAGTACAAATAAACAGAAGGAAGAATCAACACAGTAGAGGAAGGGGAGAGGGGATGAGGAGGCAAGGGGTGAGAGAGGAGACTAAAGTGGAAAATTATATTCCATGCATGTATGATTATGTCAAATGAACCCCAATATTATCTATAATACACTAATAAAACATTAAAAAAGAGAGACATAGGGAATAAAATGACCACTTCAAACATTTATCCAATAGTACTTCCAAGAGAAAAAAGAAAAGACTGGAAGATATAACTCAAAAGTTCTTTGAAAAGATGATGATTTGGTATTTTCCAGAAAGAATGAAAACTATAAATCCTCATTTACAGAATGTCAAATCTCAAGTAGTGTCCATAAAATTAATTTGGAGACAGATTTTAGTGAAACTGATTTGAAAACCTAAGTCAAAGCAATGATGTTAAAAGCAATGAGAATAAGAGATATATAACACACAAAGAATAAAATTCAACATGTCCATTGATTTTTCAACAACATAAAAATCTTGAAGACAATTGGGGAAATTCTTTAAGTAAAAAATAAAGTGACCTGCAATACACTGACTCCAATAATGACCATAAGATTTGATACCTCCTCACATCAACACCTTTTGGTAGTGCCTTCCTACACTGTTTACAAGACTGGCTTTGGCAGAGGGATAATAGCAAACTTGGAAAAAGCAGATATTTAAAAAGAAATATACAGGCACCACCCCCCCCCACACACACACTCTATCCTACACAATGACAATTGGAAGGTGTCTAGTCTGGCCTAATGCAGAGTGGCTTGGAGCAAAGCTGGCCTACATCAGCCAAAGCCATCCAGCCACAAGACAGAAATGAAATCCAGTGAACAAAAGAGAATTGACCAGACAAGATCCTCCAAAAGAATCCAAACCTCACAAGTAAAATGAATAATGATAAATGGTTAGGTTTGTTTCTGTTTTTGGAACAGGTTAGGTTTGTTTCTTTTTTGGAACACAGAATGAACTTAGCAATGTTTACCCTTTGAGCCAGATTCCTGTTTGTTTGAATTCTTTTTTTTTTTTTTTTTTTTAGTTTGAGACTTACCAAGTTGATGAGGCTGGCCTCAAACTTGTGATATTCCTGACTCATGCTGGGATTACAGGCGTGCACAGTCACCACACCTAACAATAAATGAGTATTTTGAAACCATTATATTCTGGATGGGTTTGTAGTGTAGTATTATTATATAAAAAGATAACTGATACAGAAATTGCTATCAAAGTGATATATCTGTAACTTTAAAAAAATGGGAAGTCAGTGAAAACAGTAGATAGGAAAATTCTCTTTGCCATAAAGGCTACAAAAGTATCAGCAAAGAATTATAAAAATCAGGGTTTTTTTTTAGAATTATAGAAATTAACCAAAGGCTTGAAGCAATCCTGGGAGAATTAGTGAAAAAAATAACTATATCATGGGAAATACAGGGAGCAAGCTTTGTTCCATTGTAACTTTCCCTATTTCTGTCACCTGTACTCCAGCTCCAGAGTAGCTATGAAAACCAACATCCTAGCCTGTGTGGACTGAATGATTATGTAAATCACAATTCATATGTTGAGGTTTTAACCCACAAGGTGATGGGGGTATTTGAGAAGTGATTTGGCCATGAGGGTGGATTGCTCATGAATGAGATTAGTATCTTTATAAAAGAGAACCATGAAAGATCCTTCATCCTTTCTCCTATATGTAGACACAGAAAAAACTTGCCTGAGAACCAGGAAGCAGGCCCTCTCCAGACACTGAATCTACCTGTGCCTTGCACATAGACTTCCCAGCCTCCAGAACTATGAGAAATAAGTTGCTATTGTTTATAATCCACTCAGTTTGGGGAATTTTGTGATAATAGCATGAATGAACTAGTACATTAGCAGTCACTGGAGAGGATAGAACAGAATTAAGAAATCTGTTGTAGACTGCAGATTTGTATCTCTCCCAAATTCATACACCTAGTGTGGCTATATGTGGAGATGTTATGTGGCCTCTAACGAAGAAATTAATGTTAAATAAGATCAAAAGGGTGGGAGGTCATAAAGGTGGGACCCAATCCAATTGGATCATTATTTTTATAGGAGGAGATGAGAAAGCATGCACTCTTTCTCTTTCTGTTTCTTTTTCTTTCTCCACACACAGAAGAAGGGCCATGTAAGGTTACAGTAAGAAAATGACCATCTGCAAGAAAGGAGAGTCCTCACCAAACACTGAATATGTGGCCACCTCAATCATGGACTTCTAGCCTCCAAAACTGTGAGAAAATAAATTTCTGTTATTTAGGCAGCCTAGGCCACAGTATTTACTTATGACAGCCTGAGCACATAAATATAAGATGCTTCAAAGGCTATTTCCAGAGAATTTTCATTATTTGACTTGTCTGATAGTACCATGGAAGTCGCAATGACAGAAGTCTCCCAATGGAAGACTCTAAGGATGTCTTCATTTGAATTACCCCACATATCACCCAGAAGGAGTAGCCTCTTCCTCAGGGGTGGCCATAAAATCTAATTCGTCAAATTCCAACAGAACTATTTTAATTTCATTAATCCAATAGAAAATTCTTGACTGTCTAATTTTCCTCAAGACTTTTATTCACTTCAATTGTTCTATCAATGCTATCACCTTGAAGGACATGCTCCTGGAAGCTCCTTACCTATAACAATCTTAACCAACCAGTTGTCTTCTATGGCTGGTTCAAATTTGTCATCCTAGAATCTCCATCAGCCTTGTAAGTATTTCATTTATCTCTCTCCTGTATCGTGTCTCCTATTTTCTGCAGACCACATCTTTATCTTTTGTGGTTTACTTTTTCCTTTTGTGGAGAAAATTCTCTAGTAGTTTCCTGAAAAAAAGAAGCACAGGGAGATAAAAATTTTTGACATCTTATATTTCTGAAAATGTCTGCTTTCTACTTGTACATCTCATTATTAGTTTGTGTGTGAATCAAAACATAAGTCAAAAATCATTTTCCTTCAGAATTTTCAAAGAATTACTCCATTGCATTCTGGTTCATAGTGATGATATTGAAAATTCTTAAGCCAACTGATTCCTGAACCTTTGTACGTGACCTATTTTTGCCCCTGGAAACTTGTACAAAATTTTGCTTTGTTCCCAGGGTTATGAAATTTCACAGTGTTATATCTTGGCATGAGCCAATTTTCATCTGTTTTGCTGGGTGCTAGCCTTTTAATCTATAAATAAGTATCTGTTGGCTCTGAGAATTTTCCTTATATTATTTTGCCGATAATTTCTTTCCCTTCATTTCATTTACTTATTGTCTTTCTAGAACTCATGTAATTTAAGCACTGGAGAAAATCTTCTTGGCAAAGAATAGGCACAGTGTTTCTGTTCATGTGTGTACAAAGTGGACATAAACTCTGGAGCCAATCTACCATGGCTCAATATTTTGACATATTATCAAGAAGAAGTGTTTTTGTATTTCTTGGTGTTCACATTAAGTAGGACCTGATAAAGGAAAATGGACAAAGACTGAACTATATGGATAGCAGATAGAAGATGCAAGCCCTATTCCCTCTAGAACTTCAGTACATAAACACTTTCAAATCCTATGCAAGTTGACCTGAGCATCAACATTCTCCATAGCTAAATATGAATGAATGGATTTTTACTAAGTTCTGGGATCAAAGACGTAAGTGACTCTCTCTGCCTTCAGTGAGATCTCAGTCCAAAGGAAGACAAATAAAGATGATAAAAAAAAAAGGAATGGGTATCAGTGAACTTAGTTGGTATAGTTGGAGAATAGGGGGTCTCAGAATGCCTCCAATGTGTCACTTTGGACTATATCATGAGAAAAGTGAATCTTTAGTTTTTATGGAGTCACAGACCCTTTTAGGGAGACAATGAAATCTATGATGTCTCTTACAATAAAAATACACATAACAAACATGCCCATACATACACGTTGCTTACTAACTCGGAGTGTTGCACCAGTAGAGCTCTTGGTATGAAAGAATGATTAGGAATTTCCAGGCAGACAAGAAGAGGAAGGGCATCCAAAGAGGAAATATGTGTAAAAGCCTGGCAAAATAAAAGTCTCTGCATTATTGGACTTAGGAGGCTTGTAACATAATTCACTGCGATTGGAGCATAAACTGGAAAAGGAATCAAGCACAGTAAAATATAAAAATAAATAAAAGATAAAAAGACAGCCAGAGCTAACTCATAAAGTACCAAAATGTCAGTCACACGCTTTGTTTACTCAGAGACTAGACCTTGATTGAGAGAGAATTCCCACAGCATGTGGACCTCTCCTAACTATTAAAAAGGATAACTGGAACAGCTAGTCCCTACATGGAACACTAATTGATATTCTGAGAGTGTGGCATTTCACTGGCGTCCGCAGTAGGTATGGAAGTGTGCAATGCTCACATCTTAAGCTTCCAGCTTCGTGACACAGAGGGGGGAAAAAAACAATGTTTGAATGAAACCTGAACAGCTGTGTTAATTATTTTGCTCCTTAATAATGTACAACAGAATGACAATCTTCAGTGAGTTGCAATGATTCTCAACACTGGCAGCAAATTAGATTTACCCGGGGAGATTTCAAAAAGCATAACAAGCCTACGATCCACCTCAGATCAAATGAATCAGAGTGCATGGGGAAGGAGTGGAGCCTGGGCATCTGAATTTTGAAAGCCTGCCAGAAAATTGTAATGTAGAGTCAGAGTTCAAAACTACTCTATTAAGGACATTACCCCACAAATATAAACTTTTACCTATTAATCCGGCCTTAATTATATGACAATGTTTCCATGCAGTATTATCCAACTCAAAAATAATTTTTGAAAAACTATAACATATACATTTGTCCATTTGAATTGCTTTGCTAAGCTGCTAAGGATGTTACATGAAGGAACTGTGGGAACTGTTAAGGGAATAGAAGCAGCATGCTTAGGGGACAATATCAGGACTCACAGGCAGCCAGTCTATGCTGGAAATGTTCAGAGTGGGCCTTTTCGCATTTTAGTCTCATCTGCTGAGTGTGCTGCCTGAGGCGATTGTTCTCTTCATATCTTGCAGATCTTTCTGGGGAAAAGATCTTTCTGGGGAAAAGGCTATGTGCCAACAGTTTTTTGCTAAGGGTCTTGTGATTAATTGAATGGCCTTTTATTTGGACAGTCTGAGGACAAGATTTCCTTTTTTGGCTCAGGAAGCCACAGGCAGGAGGCATGCAAAAATTAATATTAGCATAGCTAATAAGTCATTGCCATAAAATATACAGAACCCAACATTTTAATTTCTGTTACACTCAAACACTCTATGAGTTTGCAATTGATCATATCTTATATTCTACATCATGCTGAATACCAAACATAGAACTGTAAGAAGAGGATCACACAATGATTTATTCAATACATATCTATATATCAAGAACTGTGCTAAGTATTCAGAAAACATACCATGAATCTGTCCACAACATGTTCTCTTTCCACTAAATGGCATAATAATAGTGCATTGACTCATAAAAGTTCATAAAAGAAGTACATGGAAAAGAGGTGAGTTCATGGGATGCCATGATCACTTACAGCTAGGATGGGACAGACAAAAGTCTCTTTGAGGCCCATTTGTGCTAGGATGGAAAGATTAGAAGAAATTCTATAGACAAAAGGGAACTGGGTTCTCTTTTAGGGGGGAAAGGGGAACCGGGAAAATAATAAGATGGAGAGGTTGTGACGCTAACTTTAATAAATAGGGTTAATTGAAGATCTGTAGCAGAAGATGCAAGATAAGTTATCAGTTGTATTAAATGGTAAAAGCAAAAAGCCATGGAGGCTTGGACAAGGAAACTGGAAGTAAAGATTGAAAGGAAAAGACAGGTGCTATAGAATCATCATAGTGATTCTGTAGCAGCTCACACATGCAATCCCAACAACTTGGGAGGTGGAGGCAGGAGGATCACAAGTTCTCAGCCTCCCTGGGAAGCTTAGCAAGATCCCATACAATTTCTTTTTTAAAGGGATTGGGGATGTAGCTCTATGCTAGAGCACCTCTGGTTCCAAACCATGTCTCATATCTATCCGGAAGACAGTGTCAGGAAATCATTAGACTGGATGACTTGTAAAATGGTTTCTAGTTCAAATTCTATGATTCAGTTAATGGTAACCAAAAGTATCATATTTCAAGTTCAATAGTGTCCTTTTCATGTTCTGTTCAATGATCTTATAAATAACTCTCCCCCAAGTCACCTCTGCATTTCTCTCAGCCATGGGGATCTAAAGCAAAAGCCTGCCACTGGCGTCAACTTCAAAGGCCTCTTCTCCCAAGTCTTCAGAGAGCCTCAGGCATTTACAATAAACACAGCTCTCAGCACAAAAGATAATAGCAGGTTTGACTCCTTTCTGTCGGCCTGAATGTTGATTAAGGCTTCAGTAATCATCCCCCACTCTATACAAATCCAAAATCAAAAACGCAGATTAATTTTCAGAGAACAGAAGGAAAGAACAGAAAGAAAAAAGGCTCATTGCTAAAAGAAAGGAATCATGAAAGAAGTTTCACTGGTCAGCTCATTTGGATATTTTTTTTTTTTCTAAAGTGGCCACATATCCTGGTATTTGCGAGTCCTCTTAACGAGACATTAAAGTATAACATCAAATGGGATGCTTAAAAAGACAACTGAACTTATAACAGGTGAAGTTTAAATACCAGAATTATGACTGGCTTAATGAGAGCTCTGATCTGTGGGCATGTGCCTGATGATGTTTTTCTAATTCCACGAGCAGGGCCGGGAGCAAAGTTTCTTCTACTGCTGGGTCTGCTTTATTGAATTTCCTGCCTGTCCTAATTCTATATATTTCCAATTAGCTGACCTTCAAAGCTGACATTAGTAGAAAGGAATTGTTTTCTGACAAGCTAACATTTTAAGGCTAATGGTTTTTTAATAAGCAATTGAGTTTGCGGCATTCAGCTCTTGTTATGTTTTATTGGGTTTTGTGCTTTAATTCGGTATGTGAGTTTTGGCATGACTCCATGGCAGGTGCAATTTTAAAAATGGAATCAATAAGATTCACCGTGATGTATGATATGAACATTCGAAGCTTAGCTTTCAAAACAAAATACCACGGTCCTACAAAGAAAATGTGTTGATTCCTTAGGGCTTTCCCTTTGGAAGCTCTTCGAAATCTTATTCACACTCCTCCAGAATCCAAATCTACCCTCTCCTAAACAGTTCTTACTCAGATCCATGATCTCATCTCTTCCTTCTTCAGGGAGATTATGTGCATCTAGCAGGAAAGTATGAGTACAGCTTGTTTTCCTTTTTAAAAATGTTCTAGTACTTTCTACAGTACTATAATTAGTTGAGCTTAATAAATCTTGGTTAAATAACTAGTTGAATGAACTTTTCCTCTCTTCATTCTTCTCTGACTCACTGTAATAGGAACCCCTCCTTTCCAAGTCCAATACTTGACAACCATGAAGAATTATCAGATTCTAACCCCTCATGCCATCTTCAAGATCTTGCTTCAGCACGTATTTCTTCTTAGTCTAAGTGTCTTTGGTCTTGATTTCTCCATCAGACACTTAGAGGCTCTCTATAAACACAGACAAATGTCTCAATTTTGTTAAATACTCTGAAGGAGGAAGAAAGTGGAGACGGGAACAAGAGGCACGTGAGAGGATACCGGGTTGGATGGCAATGCTCTATTGTTTAGTGTCTATGTGCCAGATATAAAGCCATGTACTTTTTTTGTGTACTTTTCATATTTGATTTTTTGTTTTTTGTACCAATGATTGAACACAGGGGCACTTGACCACTGAGTCACATCCCTAGCCCTATTTTTTTTTTTTTGGTATTTTTATTTAGAGACAGGGTTTGCTTAAGTTGCTTAGCATCTCACCTTTGCTGAGGCTAGCTTTGAAGTTACCAGCCTCCTGCCTCAACCTCCTGAGCTGCTGGGATTACAGACATGGGCCACTGCACCCAGCATACTTGAGTTTTATTTTTAAATAAAAGGTAAAAAGAAAACAGAGGGAAAAACTCATAGGTAGGATGATTGCAAATGTTGGTTACTGCTTCAGAAAGTGAATGACTGTAATGACTAAGTAGGAAGTTCTTCTGCAAGTCAGGTGATTTCCAATGCTTTATTTTCAACAAAACAGAATGACTAGCAGCTGTCAAGTATATAATTTGAGGTTTCTAACTTACAAAGAGTTCAAAGAATAGAGCGAAATTGCTGTTAAAGAAAAAAAAAAACCTCCTTCCATTCATATATACCTATTTTATGGGAACAAAGTCTCTTTGGCTCTTCCATCCATAAAAATAAAGAATCAAAATAGAGTTGATAATGAACCTTGTCTCATTTGAGCAATTAGTATTAATCATCTCTGTTTACAAGAGTGAATGGGAGTGGGGCAGCAAGAGTTCCCTGAATCTAATTAAGAAATGTATTTTCAATGGACTGGGGTTGTGGCTCAGTGGTAGAGCACTTGCCTAGCACGTGTGAGGCACTGGGTTCAATCCTCAGCACCACATATAAATAAATAAAGATCGTGTCCACCTAGAACTAAAAAAACAAAGAAATGATTTTCAATAAATGTTAATACTTTGTTTAGTAAATATCTTCCAAAAAATTGTAACATTATTTTCAATCAATTGTAGGATGTTATTAAATGCAATGCTAACCCAACTCAGAAGAAATTTAAAACTTATGGTTACTTGAAACTAGTAAAAAATTCAATCAGCATATATTTTTCTGAGATGAATAATAAGGTGATCAATAAGAGGTCTTTTAGGTACTAGAAAATCATAGCCTATCATAGACAAATCTTAGAAAATATAATGTTTTTTAAGTTATATTTGGACATATTACTTTTATTTTATTTCTTTATTTTTATATGGTGCTGTGGATCGAACCTGGTGTCTCGCACACACTAGGCGAGCACTCTACCACTGAGCCACAACCCCAGCCCAGAAAATATAATGGTGATGGGGTGAAGGAGATCACAAAGAAAACATACTTTATGATATATTCTTTATATTAATTTCAGACAGGCACAAAACTAATCAATATCAA